CAAAAATTTAACCAGAGAATTCCTTCAGATCATAAACTCTTTCAACCAAGTGGCTGGATAAAAATTAACTCGAAAAAATCAGTTGTCCTCCTGTATCTGAAAGACAAAAGGGCAGAGAAAGAAATCAGGAAAACGACACCCTTCACAATATCCACTAATAACACAAAATATTTTGAGGTGACTCTAACCAAGCAAGTTTAAGACCTGTTTGAAAAAAACTTCAGGTCTCTAAAGAAAGAAATTGAAGATGATATCAGAAGATGGAAAGATCTCCCGTGCTCATGGATTGATAAGATTAACATAGGGAAAATGGCCATCCTGCTAAAAGCAATCGACAGATTCAATGCAATTCCCATCAAAATACCAACACAGTTCTTTACAGACCTTGAAAGAACAAATTTCAAATTCATATGGAGAAACAGAAAAAAACCCAGAATTTCCAAAACAATCCTGTACAATAGATCATCTGGAGATATCTCCATCCCTGATCTCAAGCTGTACTACAGAGCAATAGCAATAAAAACTGGATGGTACTGGCATTGAAACAGAATGGTGGATCAATGTAATCAAATAGAAGACCTCAAAATAAAACCACACACCAACGGATACTTTATCTTTTGACAAAGAAGCCAGAACTATAAAACGGAAAAATACATCTTCAACAAATGGTGCTAGTCTAACTGGATATCTGCGTGTAGAAAAATGCAAATAGATCCATGTTTATTACTCTGCACAAAACTAAAGTCCAAGTGGATCAAAGACCTGAACATAAACCAGACACACTAAATTGGTTAGAAAAAAAATGGGGAAGAGCTTTGACCCCATTGACCCCATTGGCACAGGAGACAACTTCCTGAAGAGAACTCCCAAGAGCACAGGCTCTAAGAAAAACAATAAGTGGGACCTCATGAAACTGAAGAGCTTCTGTAAAGCACAGGACACTGTTGTCCGAACAAAACGACAGCCTACAGACTAGGAAAGAATCTTCACCAACCCTATATCTGAGAGAGGGCTAATATCATGTGTATGTATACACATACACACACACACACACATACACACACACACACATATATATGTGTGTGTGTGTGTGTGTATATATATATATATATATATATATATATATATATATATATATATAT